TCGAAGCATCAGAGGCATGCATGGAGGTGCAGTTCTTCCGACATTTTCCGAATTTCTGGAAACAATCAGTGTAAAACCCCCCAAAACCAGCACTCATATGTACTACGTACTCCAGATTTCCACTGGGAATCCATGATAAACTAGTAGGTTTCCCTAATGGTTGGTATCTCACCGAAAAGTGATTTGTTTCAATCTCTCCCAAATTTAAAAGGCAATGAGTGGGAGTAGGACCATTAAGATGAACGTTAAGAATGTAAACTGAAGCAAGGTTGGCATGGGGAAATGTCATTTTTCCCTTCAGCGGAATCTCAGCCAACCCACAGTCCTTTTCTGGGTTGGCAGGAGATATTTAAAGAACAGTTTTGAGAGTCTGTTTTGATATAGCAGTTCCTGAGAGGAGAGACTGTTTCATGTGCAAGAAGGAGCCAAGATCATGTACAAGTTGTTGAAGTGCCGTCAGCCAAGGACGCTGGTGTCTCTGCAGGGCGAGGGGACCGTTTCATTGTCAAGCACAGTTTGCAGATGTCTCAAGGGGAAAGTAAGGTAGCTATGATGTGGCATGAACAGTAAAGCTCCAGAAATGCTAGCCTGCCTCTGTGGAGACAGGTAGCCCAAGGGCAACAGTTCTTACCCACACAGTGCTCAGAACCATCAAGAACAAACCAGACATCTCCACATCTCTCATACTTTCCTTGGATTCTGGATCAAGGCTTCTTTGCCTGTGCAAGTATTTTACCTCTGTTGTTAATTTGGCTTCACAGTTGGGCTTTCAGCCCCAGAAGCCAGAGTTTTATCTGTTTGTTGCCTCTGGCAAGCATTTAGTTCTCATCTACACTACACAGAGAGACTGGTTTTCAGATCTTGCTTCTCTACCAGTCCTTCCCCTGTAAGATGTTTTTCCATATTCATTTGACATACCCGGTTGCTGTGTTGACTGAGCTCCTATTCCACCATCAGGCATTAAATCTGGTGAAGCTTCTAGACCGGAGGTATCCATGGGGGGACGAGTCAAAAAAGTCAAGATGGAAACTGGGACAATGCAATCCAAGCCCTGCTGCTTTTTCACATGTGTCTGCAACCACACAGCCGCCGCCACCATCTTGACTTTTCTGACCCCCTCTGTGGATGCTCTTGAAGCAGAATCAATGGTGAAACTAAAAACAATAATATTTCATAGATACATATGTATGAAGTGGCAAACTCCATTTTTTTCTGTGCTTAACTTTAATTAAAAAAATATATATCCACAGTCCTGAAAAAAGAATGAATGCTGCAGGATTAAAGCTTTAACAGAAATTTGATCTGCTGCTGGTCAATTTCCTATGACTAACTGAAGCTTTCTGCCTTTCTGCCTTTCGGTCTTTCTATCTTTCATTTTGTTTTCTTTATATTTGGCTATTTTTGTATATCTATCTGCAATAACAATGATGCTTTTAGACATAAGACATTTCTGTTGTGTTAGTCTTGCCAGCTAATCTAACAGAAGTCGATGGTGTTCAGTATGAAAATACCCAGAAATATTTTTTCTGACAGAGAAAAAGAAAGAAAAAATTATTTTTCTGTTCCATCCTCCTGTTTTAAGGTCTATTTTTCACATCATGCAAAACTGAATGTCTAAGATTTTACCATTTCGCTCTGCAAAATATGTAAATTTCAGCCTGCGTATCTAAACCATGTGCTGCATTTTTTCAGAAAACTATATTGTCCAAAATTCACTGTCTTTCTCAAACCTGACTCACAAATCGTATTTGTTTAGGCTCAAGGTTTTTTCACTAACCATCATGGATGATTTGACCCTTATATACAACTGATTTGATTCAAGATTAGAGGCTAGGATGAATGGAAAAATACTGAAAACAATCCCTAGTTATTGGATCTTCTTCTATGCCTTGGAGATAGATACTCAAAGAAGCGACAGTCCATAGTAAAACAGAGAAGAGATTATCAGCATTATCAACAGTGAGATACTGCACCCAAAAGGAGGTGGTAGTTCACACTTGCTTGTAAATTTTTTGATTGTTCATCATTGAATGTCTGTTTTGTGTCAGAGCCAATTCTCTTGAAAGGCATCATTTCTGCAGAAGTTTGGCCTTGCTGGGCACGGTTTGCTTGCTCGCGCAAGTTGTTACTTGATCTTTAAATCATCAGATGATAAACAGGCATGTGGGAATTGACCTGAGGCTTCTGCTCCAGGATTTGATTTCGATTTCGAAAGCCGAGAGTAAGCAGTAATGTAATTCCTCTCCATCGGCTAAGATATTCAAATTATATCATCCAATATAGCTTTTTCGGGCATTAAGAGGAATTACTTTGAGTCATAATAGCTGGCATCAAAAGTATTCAATAATTTAGAATGAAGCAATGCTTGTTGAGATCTGCACTTTTCTCTTTCCTTTCCTCTCAACTTGGAATTGGTTCCATTTTTTTCTACATTGCCATAAAGAAAGATATTATTTCATGATTTCATATCATTCTATTTCATTTCTTCCTTTCTTTCACAACTCCCCTGCCATTGCTAAGTAGTAGCTATTTTGACATAAGCATTTAAATAAAATGGGTAGGTAAGATACATGTAGCCTTTTTGGCCTGGTGCAAAATGATGGAAGAGTACAGTGAAATAGTAAATTGCAGTTGGGTTGGCTGCTCTGCTTAATTCTTTCAATTTGCTGAAGAGAATTCAGTCAGGCATGCTTGCCAGGCAGCTGGACCCCTGCCTAAAACCAAGAGTGATTCTTTCCCAGCATGCTTTTAACAGAGTCTTCTTTAGCGAGATTTATTGGAATTAAAGGCATGGCATTACAAGAAATCTGGCAGCTGAACTATTTCCCATTTAGAACCAATACCTGTGGCCATTATGATGGAGACGTTCAGGTTTTCTTTCTAACTACCTTCCTATGAACTGGTGAGGAGGCAGGTCTTTTCACAAACAATGGAGAAGATTGCAGCTGGTTGTTTCCACGATGGTCTCCTGAACCTTTATGAGTTTGGGAACCAGGTTTAAGCATACCAGTGTGGTGAATTTATCTGTAGTACTTTATAGGTTAGCACAGATAACCAACTTACAGAAGAATTATATCATACCATAATTTACTACTTGACAAATTACTATCCACAGTTGCCCATTCCTTTGCAGGGCTGAAAAGTGATATAAATATATTGAATGGTAACATGCACATTATAAAAAGTTCCACTTGGTATTGGACTGCCTGTCCTCACCTAGTTTTATTTACTCCAAGACCCATACCCCCATAACAGGGCATAGAAGCTGGATGAAGCATGCATCATTGTGATCCAGTAGCACAAGGAGACAGATTTAGTAAATCCTGTCTAAAAATGGAAAGACTCCCTCTGTTTATAGAAATGACAAGCAAGGAATCCCTCCAATTTTAGAGACACCCAAAATCTAAAGCGGTGCAGTGCAGACAGGACATCGAAGCAGTAATGGAAAATGAGTGACAGTTATCTCCACAAAGGGCCGTAACCCCTTCTCAAATCTTCATGGGTGATCATTTGCTGGTTAATGAGGGCAATTCAAATGATTCAAGAATGGCTTCCAGTTCATGTACTGGAACAACCTAGAGTTTGTGAAACTTAAAAAAAGATATTGATTCTATTTGAACACACACACACACACTTGCTGAAACTAAGGATCTAAATGAGAGACAGATACAGAGAATAAACCATATGCTAAGGGAAGTGTCTAATAACAGACACTACTCTTTTGCCAGAATGGAAACATGTGATCAACAAGTGAAGAAAATGCCCTTATTCTCTTTGCGTTCCAACACTTTATTAATGGACAGATTAGAATTGATGCTTGATTAGCGTTATCAGTCCTCATACATCTGCTGTGGGGAAATATATGTAGCTCTGTATGGATCACCAAGAAATGCTTACTGCAGCTGTCACCAGATTACAGAAATTGCAGTCATTAATCAGTTAAAATGTACACAATTCTGCAATTAAAATGTATTTGCATGTAAATAGAATGATTGAAGTGAAGGGGGAGAACCGGATTGTGGATACTCTATGTATGTCACGGAGTTCAGTTTTGTTTGAAAGATGGAGCAGACACCTCTCTGGAATGGTATTTGTCATTTGTATTACAATGATTTTATACTTGCACCAAATATGAAGCCTGGTTAAAGGAGAATACTGTAATTAATTGAGCTATTTTTGGAAGCTATCATTGCTATGTAAACTATATCTTGAAGAGAAAATGACCAGAAAGGGAAAAACGAAGTTCTCTCGTCTCATAAACATGCAGACAGAGGCCAAGGGAAAGAAAGATATAGGGGCAAAGTGTGAAGAACCTTCCCCTTATCTATCTCTTGACCTTTGCCCAACTGGTCTAAAGGCTCATGCATGCAATTCCAATAATTATTTGTTGGAATTCCAGTCTCATGCATATCTACTGGGGAGGAAGTGCTGTTAAATGCAAGTGTCTTTCATTCTGACTCAGCCATCAGGCATAGGATTGCATCTGCCACTCTATTTTATGACATCTTGAGTTCTGGCAAGAGAATTTCCATTAGTTCTTTCAATTGTCCAGGAGGTGGCCTCACTCCTTGCACTGAAAAATCATTGTTCTCCATTTTTGCAGTATCCCCACTTGAGGCTGAAGATAGGGACTCTCAAGTCTCATTGCCTTTCCGTAGTGAATACAGGACTTAAGTCTCCATGTTAGAAAACTAGAGGTCAAGGAGGACATCTGGGAAAGCTGATTTGTAGGCAAGCTGGTTTTCTAAATGTACGAATTGATTGATTGATTGATTGATTGATTGATTGATTGCAAGGTGATACATAGGAGCCATGTCATGACTGCACAGAAAGAGGTATCTTATCCCAGCAAGAACTGAAGTTCTGTCTCTTGGGTTAAATGCTGTGATCAATTTGCTTCCCTTACTATTCACAGTGGTTGTCTGTAACCAAGCAAGCTGGAGATGCCTTCTGCCTACTATCACTAATGCCCTGTTCCCTCACTGGGGGATTGTTCACTAAATTTATTCATACTATTCCCCTCCTTCCACAGAGGCAAGAAAAATGTTGCTGCGGCCTCTGAAAACAGGTAACGTGTATTTCTGTTTGATTCCGTGTTTCTTACCAGTCTCAGATCCAGCACATAACAGTCATGTTCAATGAACTTTTACGTGCACCTCACTAATAGTAGGCTTTAAACCCTCCTAACGTAGTTCTGGATTTGTGGCTATTGAGCTGATGAGGTCCTTGGGTAGACTCTCCATTTCAGCCTTTGAAATCTGTTTAATTCATTTGATATTTTGTTTTATGTGTGTGTGTGTGTGTGTGCACGTGTGCACATCCATTTCAGAAACCTTCTTTTGAGACTGATTTCCATTTCAATCAAGATGGGTGTTAAATTTCAAATGTAAATCAAGTTGAGTACTGCTTGAGATATATCTCTTTCCAATTTTAAGTATATTTTTAAAAATATAAAATATATAAGTTTGACCATTTATGTCACAGAGAAGCTCTTTTGACCTGGGACTGCATTTCCTGCTTCTTCCTTGCCTGGGGGCTGAAGGGGTGAAAGTTGCAACATGACAGGTCTGGTGGAGGGTGAAATGTTTGAACTCCCTTTTCTTCATTAGGGGAAGAGTGTTAAGGGACAGAAATCTCCTCAAAATAAATGCAAATACACTCTATTTAGGGAAACATTAAAAAAAGGTTCTTTGGATATCTTAAATCTCTGGAAGGTGCAAGGCAATCATTTTGCTCATTAATTCTACCTTCCCAATCTCAAAAAATAAAAGAGAACTGAAAGTTCCAAGCAAACAGTAATAAAATTGAGCTGTAAAGATCAAAGACATTTCCACATTAGTTCCCAATCAACGTATCTTGGAATTTTTCTTGAAGAGCCGGTTCCAACGTAACGTTGAACGTGTCCTGTCATCCGGTAATTGTAAGGAACCTGTTCTTTTCTTTCACCTAAGCTGTGTGTTCTCTCACTCATTGCTGAAAAGTTTTTGCGTGGTTGTTGAGCTTTAGTGCAGTTTTAAACCATGTTTACTGCCTTGCTCTGGTGGACTGCGTAACCTCTTATGAGAAAGTCTCAAACCTACCAGAATACTGTTTATGTCTGTATCTCACCTTACATGCTTTCAGATGTTCTCATTCCCCTTATAAATACAAAATTCAATCAAGACTCAAGGCAGAGGACAATTATCCAAAGTCCTGGGCAAGTGTATGTGTATATAGTTTGCCAGAAGCCAGTTCCTAAGATCCTACTGAAGGAAACTTACAAATGTGTAAGTCTCACATAAATTATTGCATATAAAGTTGTATGGAGTCTATAATGCCTTCTGTGAATTCTCAGTGCATCCACCTTTCATAAGAAAAGCTTATCCTGTTTATAGCAGGCTGTGGCAGTTGTGTCCTACATCTTAACACTGATTAAACTCTGGTGCTGATATGCTGCAAATTACAGTTTGAATTCCCCTGTTAAGTGGCATTTCTATGGGTACTTTATTTAGAACTCCAGAAGACAGCTGTGCCACCTGACTGTAAACAGGGTAACTTTTGTTGATTGATTGATTGATTGATTGATTGACTGATTATGTGCCACCAAGTTGGTGTTGACTCTTAAAGACCACATAAGACAGACCTTCTTCAGGAAGATTTATCCACAACCTGGTCCTTCAGGTCTTCTAGCAGCATGCCCATCACTGGTGTATGTGAGTCCAATCAACTTCCTGCTGGTTGTCCTCTTCTCCTCTTTCCTTCCACATTTCCCAGCATTATGGATTTCTCAAGGGAGCTGGGTCTTTGCATAAGGTGTCCAAAATATAATTTGAGCCTGGTCTAACTTTTGTGACCAGTGGAGTGTTCCTCGCAAGGTAGAAATACACTGAGTGTTTCTTGTTTGTTTCTTATTTTTTGTCTTGTTTTTGCTTTTTTTCCTCCTAAACAAGGCAAGAAGAATTAACAAATGTGTGTGTGTGTGCACGCGCGCGTCCACGCAGAAAATATCTGTTTCATATATAAAGCAAATTATTATTCAGATAAATAGAGAAATGAAGCCCATGACTATGGAAAGTTATGTGCTGTCTGTTTGGAGGGTTCTAATTACTTAGAATATTATCTTGATACTTTTAGAATTGTGGTTCTTTTCCCATCAATTTTTCCTTTTTCTCTACTTCATTTCTTTTTCCTTCTGATTTTCTTCCTTTTTCTTATTAACTGTTTAATACTAATCTCAGTTGTTACCACATAGTTATAACCATTTTCATACCGCTATTTATGATTTAGAGTTATTGTTACAAATCTTTGTTTGCCTTGTTAACCATTTTAATTTGCACAAGGTTGAGGTTTTCAGGACTCATACAGTGAGCCTCAAAAAATGCATAAAATAGAGATGGGGAAAAAGGAAAATATGCACAATGGATGACTGTGGTGTACTTAAAGATAAATGCTTTGTACGTAACTACATTACATTAGAGATTCTCAAACTTTGCAGGTTCACAATTGTCTACAGTGGACTTGAACAGGCGAAGTTGGGAGCAAATCTGGAGTGAGTTTTGACAGCACGCCCTCTTAAGCTGGAACACGGTCAAAATTCGCTCCTGCCTTACCTGTGAACAGGCTTACCCATGCAAAGCGCAAGTTTTGATAGCACTCCCATCTTGCCTGATCAGGCTTTTTTAAAAAAACAGTTGTGACATTTCTTGAGTTGCTCAAGACCCACCTGCAGAACGTAGCGTGTTTTTCGGGCAGAAGAATGAAGGAACAACGTCTTTTATATTTTTGGGGGGGATATTGAAGGATCTAAAAGTAAAATACACTGAACTTCAAAATGTTGTTCTTTTGGTGGATAACTAATGACAGGCAGGCTGACTTGAAATATTTGTGAAGAGACTTAAGCACAATCTAAGGATTCAAATCGGAGATGTTTACAGAAAACATAGTCACATAGTTTTCGAGAGCCAAAATATTCAGATAAGAGAACCTGAAAGGCAACTTTCACAGTATCACTGATCTTGCATTGCCGCATAAAGCACAAACTCTGCATGACTATATCTGGACCAGTTCCAGCTCTGAGGTCAGCCAGTGCTAGGAAGTCTAACTGATCAGCCCAAACCCCTCAGAGCTGAATCAAAACATACTCTAGACATTTTCTGCAATCTCAGCAAGACGTGCTATGGTTCTGTGGGAGAAAAATGTCTGTGGAAAAGCTTTCCTGGAGGGGCCCAATGTGTCTGAAGGCAACAGTTTTAGATTATCCCCCACTCAGGTTTGAGTGGAGGACAAGAGAAGTGAAGAACGATGGTGATGCTCCTCAGCAGAGATCGGGTCAATAAATTCCTCTCCCTGAGCATGTTCTGTCTATGCAGGAAGTTATGCTCAAGGTAACTCATAAGTAACAGTTGGAAAATAACTCTGCAGGATATCAAATCCTGGTAAGGGTTTTACTAATGCACCAGACTGAGAAAGAAGCTGGCAGAGATCCACTTCCAGCTATTCATGTCACTGTCCAATTCAACTCTCTCTTTATTTAATTGATAACTGGAAAACCAGATTGTACTGTGGCTGAGGTAATAATTAATAAAACCAAAGTACACCGGAGTATTAAATTAGATCAAGGAAATCTGCCGTATGTCTGGGGCTCATGTAAATGATGGAAATGGTGTTTGAAGATTCTCACTGTCAGTTCTTGGCAGCGAAGTCATTCCATACACTTGAAATGGTACTGAAGAAACCATAACGTTAAATTGGTGTGGCTACCTGCATTCTGCTCCAGTCACTAATCATGCCTTGAGTATGTCCTTGAGATGGTGCTGGAGAATAACTTCAGTGCCACACTGTAGGGCACAGACTGCCATTCCTTCAGTATCCCCATTCCTTTAATTTTCTCACCCCAAGAATGAAGGCAAGGGGAGAGGTTGGCTTGCTCTTTGTGAATCCCATAACCAGATTTACTATGCAACGTTGTGATGGCATCACGTGCTCGCCAAGGCCCACGTGTCCTAGTTGTAGGCTTTCATGCAGTAGACTGTAGCATCATATCGTGGATTCCAAGAACTGAAAGGGATGATCATGAAAATGGTCTTGCCAAACCCTTCTGGGTAGCACAACGTGCAAGTGGATCACATTTGAAGGGTCTCCCATATAACAAAAACCTTGCCTGCACGTAGAAAGCTAGCAGGGAGGCTGGAGCCTTTCTTCCCATCAGAACAGGATCCCCAAAGGACTGAAGTGTTCCCTGCAGTAATAGAAATAAGATGGGCAAACATCTGGTTTTAAGGAATGCCAGCCCCTAAAGGAGAGCATGTTTAGATTATAAAGCTGTACAATGGGGAGTTGAGATGAGGACTTCAGGTTCATTTCACCAAGGGTCTGATCACAGAAATACTTTCCCCGAAGGAATTGCGCAGGTAAGTAGAGAAAGATTAGGGGGGACTGGGTGAGGCATATATTAAACTGGTAACTATCTGAGAACTGGGACAGGGTCAAAAACAGAAGGGACTGCCCTTTAACTTAGCACGTACGAGAGAGAGACGTGGCAGCAGCTGAGATGGGTAAAGGAAAAAAAGCTTGTGAAATGTGTCCGAGCTTGCACCTGCTTGTCATATCAGTAGTCCCAAACATTGCCCTTCTTTCCCTCCATCTTCCCTTTTCGCACCCTGTTTGTTATCCCATGCTTGCATCAAGAGCTCAGAGGGCTGCCCAGGTCTGCAAAGGGGAGTTGGATGCTGGAAATGAACATTGCCTCCCCCCGCCCCACATCCAACTCTTGGCCAGCGAAAAGGGCCAACCCTTTCCCCACATGTATGATCCATATCATGCTGCATTTCTTGCCTGGAATTACCAACGGATGCCCCTTCCCACAGCTGGGAGGCAGAAGCTGGTGAGGGGAGCTGTCCCGTCCCATCTGACCTCCAAGTGTGGCCAAAGCCTAACCGGTACCCTCCACCCTGATCTCCGTTGTGCTTTTGAGATATGCTATGAAAATGTTGAAGCGGGTTTCCTTGCCTCCTTGTATGTACCCTTTTTGATCTGCCCCTCGTGGACTTGTCAAGGCCCAGCATTTAAAGATACCTCTTGTTTTATCCAATTTAACTTTAATTAGTACCCCTGTTGAGCATGAGCCCGTGTCTATCAGCTGCGCCCCTTCTGCTATGCCTCCTGCTTCAGCCAGCCTGTTTCCTGCTGCCGCTGCTGCTTCTCACGCTGCCGCCCATCGGACGACGCAGCTGCCAGCTTCAGCTGCTTCCGTGGCCTACGACTCCACCTCGTCCTCTTGCCAAAGGTAAACTTTCATGCCTGTTCGCTTCATCCAGTGGCTTTGATGTGTGCACGATGCTAGGAGAAAGAATTAAAGGGGATGTGGGGAGGAGGAGCCCCCGTGTCTTGGAAGCTTTACTTCAACAGCTCTTTTCCCACAAGTTCGCCAAATCACCTGGAAGCCCCTGAAGAGATGCAGGCCATAATCAGGAGCGGAGACTCCTGTAAGAAAGGAATATAAGTGCCATAAATCCATTTTCGCTATTGCTATTTTAAAATCTCTGCCATTTCAAGGTCTTCTTCTTCTAGGAATAGTGATCTCTGAAGTAGCCGTCTCAGTTTAGTGAATGAAACTGTGCTTCCGAAGCAACTGATTTCTGGAGCACAGATATAAAAGGCCGTTTCAAGCCCCACTTTGGAGAATTTCAGTTTGTAGAAGACTAGTCTGCAGAACCACAGCTCATAAAATAGCTGCAAAATAGCATCACTGCGTGGTTAATATCACCACCCTCAGCCCCCATCTTCATATTTGCCTGGTCAGTCCAGGTTTTTTTTTCCCCTCATAATTGATAAAGCTCCACTGGAATAATCTAAACTAGGTCTAGGAGTTCCAGTGCATGATATTTCTTGGGATGACGCCACTGTGATCTGTTGCCAGAGGAAATCAGAGCTTCATTTCTAGATTCACAGACAGGCAGAAAAATGCACCTGACTATGTTCTTTCATTTTTCCAAGGCACACTTAATCCCCTGTTATGAGAGCTGGATCTGCCCCAGAACAAAACTTTAAACTGTATGTGTTTAATGAATTGATAGAAAACCCATGGACTTGGAATATTCCAGAGAGTTTGTGGTGCTTTGCTATTACATGACGTGTAGGCCATGTGCTGAATATCTATGATCTCAATCTCATCTCCGCCAGAAATACTCCAGGTAGCCTTAGCAAACCACTCAGCCCCCTACTTTCACCTGCAGTAGAGGATTGCCTTGCAAGTTGTGGTTTAGGTTCCAGAAATGGTGTGTGTAAATCATTACTTAAAAGTCAAGCATTTTTATCATTATTAGCTTAAGGTGCCAAAAATAGTTGGCAGAACTTTAAAAATGTGGGGGGTCATTGCTGACGCACATCTATGGAGTCTTTCCCAGCAGAGCAAAGCTTCGTTCTTTTGCCATTAGTTATCTAGGGCCGCTGCTTTGTAAGCAACTTTTGGGATGCTTGTGATCGTTGTGTGTGATTCATTTGAAATCTGGAAGATGACAGGCTGGTCTGCAAGAAAGAAAGCGGGGAGAGGAGGAAGCGAGAAGAGAGAGGGAGAGATAACCTTGTTTTCAAATAGGTGCTTGCTGGTCATAACATTCGAAGGACGAGCAAGATGGATAGGCCATCCTCAAAGTATTTAATCATCATCTTATATTTTAAAATCTCACTTGAGTTAAATAAAGGAGTAAAAGTCCAGAGCTCTTCTGAGGTCTGGTGGGAATGATGAACATGGTTAAGCCTTTCCATTCCTTCCTATCAAAATATGCACCGTGAGAATATGCAAAAAATATTCTCATAGAATGTGAGAAGGAACCCCGATTGTCCCAGCAGGGAACTGGCAGACACAAGCTATTGGAGTCTGTGCAAGTGGTGCTCAGGGCGAACCACCTTATCACAAAGATTGTGGAGCAGGATTCATGCACCAGTCTTCTACTCTCCTCCCCCACCCAAATTTCTCTCTTGCAATATTAATCAGGACTTAGTTGCAACCTACTAGAGACGGAGACTGGTGGATGCATCCAACTGGACAGGAAATGCTTTTTCTGGCAGATTTGCTGACCTTTTGAACAGACAAGTGAAGATCTAAAAACATTAATTCACAAATGGGTCTAACTATGATCAATCCATATTCAAAATTTACCAACGATGTTTGCAAAGTGAAAATAAGTTCTGGTCTTGTTCCTTTTCATCATCTTCAATTGGATTATCAGCCACGTTTTAAACACCCAAATAAATAAGAACCTTTCAGGGAGTGGGAAAGAGAGAGCACTTTATTCAGTTAGAGATGTATTAATTGATGGGAAAATGTTTTCTGTTGAATATATTCTGCAGAAAATGAGTCACAAGTTCCAACTTGGTTTCAAATGAGATGTGCAAGACTACAAATGTTTCACTAGAAGATGTTCAGAATTTAATTACGAAATCTGGCTTTGGTCCAGAAGTCATGCTGCTTGAAATGAGGAGGAGATGGTGGTAGTCTGAGTCAAGAGCTGTTAGTCAAACCAAAGAATCTGAAAAGTCTTAAATGCATACTATCGGCACAAAAGGAGTACAGAACCAGTCCCAAGGTCTGAAGCTGAATTGGTCACAGGAATTCAGAGACAATCAAAAACAGGTGCTCAGACCCCATAGAATTAACCCCCAAAGTCGAACTGAAGTTTGCTAATCAGCCTGCATTAAGAGGTATCAAATCTCACCCCTATTTCAGCTGGTTCCAGGTCTTGGAGAATCAGGAAAGAGGCTGGCCCGTTCATCTTTCCAAGACTCTCAAAGACCCTTGAGCTTCGGTCTAAGATATTCTCCGAGCTCTTGGAGTCTCATTTGGCCAGTGTCTCCCAGTATCAGCTAGATAGAATGCTATTTGTGCCCATAATTTAAAATCAAAGACATCTCTGTAGTACTACCTAAACTTTTATGTTTATATGCAACAGGATCTGTTCAAAATCTGAAGAAGGATAGGGAAAGGACTTGGGGTTTGAATTTCATGAGCCAGCTTAGGACTCTTTGTGGTATCAATTTCCTTTTAAATCTGTTTCAACAAATCACCATGAATTAGAAGTGTGCAAAACTTAATTTCTCCTGGCACATTCCAAGAGTGGAATGGGCATACTGACAATCAGGTAGGACATGGGTATCAGAAGTGGTCCAACCTCGAAAGAGGCCATGTGACATTGGCACAGAGTTTGGAACAACCAGTTTCAGCACTGGATTTCAGGTCTTTGTCAAGGTTGGAGCTCGAACAGATGTTTGGGCAATGGAATGTGACCTGCCAAGATCAGAATATTTCAACCTTTAAAAACATTTTTTTTTCTCAAGAACTGTGAACTGAAATAATTCATAGATAGTAACATGCAGTATCCCCTTAACATTTGGATGTTCAAACTACCATCAAGTTGTTTTTGACTCCTAGCTATTCCTCCCTAAAATTGCATTATATTAATCCACTCTTTCTTCTGTGAGTTTCACCCAGAGTTTGGCAATAAATCTCTCTCTAGAACCTCCCGCATGCTCCGGAGCTAGCAGCAAAGAGACAAGGACATGGCATGGATAGGACAGCTCTTTTTATGGTGGATCCAAGAAACTCTAATCATGAAGGAGACCAGCTATTGCAGATTCAAGCAATACAACCCTCTGTTGTTAAGAGACCCAGGATTTAAGTCTAGGTCCCCTTCTCCTGTCTATACATGGTGACCAACATCCTGCTGTTCATCTCTTGATCTTGGATATGGTGGCCATCTATTTTGATGACAGCTTTGTCTCAAGCTCTTTACTTTCCAGTCATGCTAACATCAATCCTCCCATTTCTGGACAGTGTTTGTACTTGTACTGGCATATATTACCATCTCTGGAGCAATGCTCGTTTAGCTAACCACTTTGACTGAATGTTTTTGAGAAATTGGAAAGATTGCACAATATTCCTTCATAAATAACACTAGTGTGGCTTGATTGTTCCCAAGGAGATATAAAATGCTGCACCAGGAGAAATTAATTCGTTTGTTAGCTGGCAGATTTATTACAATGAAGTGTTACAAAAATAAAGTGCATCTTTTTCAAATCAGTGGTATTTAAAAGAATGGGAAACCTCATCAGCTAAAAATTTAATGCAGTAGCAAAGTACCTTGGAGTGCTGTTTTATATATAATTTTTATTAAAGAAATTTTTAACAAAGTAAAAGCCATAAGAGAAAGAAAAGATAATAAAGAAGAGGAATAAATAGTGAAGAAAGAAAATATAAAAAAATAGAAATAGAAATAGAAATAGAAATAGAAATAGAAATAGAAATAGAAATAGAAATA